CAAGACAAAAACAACAACTAGAAAAGCTACAATTTCTGGGGAAATTGTGTGAAGTGTTCTTGTGTTCAGCTCACACTCTAGTTTTGAACGTTCCGCCATTCATTCCTAGGGACCAATTTCACCACAAAAACGCCGATATTTCGTGAACCATTCTGCGAAACGTTCCACAAAGTAATAGCACACCAATCGGGAACAATCCGCACGTTTCGGTATATTACTGTCTATGTAGTGTAAAAACTGTGGGAGGAGTTAGGGTGGTAAATTTGGCTATAATAATAAGAATATATATGTGAGATAACAGTAAGTGGTCTTGCATTGCAAGAACACTTAATTACAACAACAAAGGACTATGGCTAGTAAGGGTAACAATGGGTTAATTAAGGGTTTACAGCTAGAGATAGTGTTTCCGGTAATAAAATATTAAGGTGTCTAGGCCAATCCTTATCATCCAGCAGACCTGATAAACAGACCTCCAGAGGTTATGGAACATCTCTAGAAAGAACAGATGGCAATTTATCTATGACTTGCTTCCAATACCCTGCAATTTCATAACAAAACCAAATTAAGTGCAGAAAATCAGGCTGAGTTTGATGACAACGTATACAATTTGAGATGGACATAGGACCCATTTTATACAAATGGTTTGGGGTAAGGTATACTTGATACAAAAAATATAGTTGGAATAATTTCTTATTGACTGCTGGTGATGTTAATAAATGTGACAAAGAAATCTCATCCCAGCTCTCATCCATCATAGCCTGGAAATGGACTGCCATTTAGCTTTTACATTCAAAGGAGTGTTACTAACCTAGCCTGCATGAAATGCGAATAAAGTGTGGATATTAACCCTTTCAGTCCCTGTGATCTCAGCACGCCAGTAAAGGGGTACTTTGATATCCTAGGATTCTAGATACCAAATTCAGCCTGAAGGGCATGTCAAAGCTGTAAATATTTATATAAAAAACACTTATGAAGTACGTTATATTGCTTATATAGATAGTCAAACGACCCCAGAGTTGTAGAGTGAGCTTACTTGCTACTACTCCATGCTAGGATGTTGTCTGCCTGAAGTACTAGCTCTTTAACTACTTGAGCTCTGAAAGGTTTTAGTCTCTTCATGACCAGAACATTTTTTGCCATTCAGCACTGTGCTGTTTTAACTGGCAATTGTGCCATCATGCAACACTGTACCAAAATGAAATCTATATAATTATTTTCACACAAACAGAGCTTCCTTTTGGTGGTATTTGATCACCACTGGGGTGATAAAATAAAAAAAGCCAAACATTTTGAAAAGAAAACAAAACAATATTTTCTACTTTCTGTTATAAAACATATCCAGTGAAAACAATAAAAAAATTAAAATTTCGTCATAAATTCAGACCAAAATGTATTCTGTTACATGTCTTTGGGTAAAAAAAATGGGAGGTACACTGATTAACTACAGGACACTAACGTCAGTAGTGACACTAATACAGTGATCAGTGCTAATACTGTACACTGTCGATCATGGGCGGACTGACCATTTGGAAACTTGGGCACTGCCTGAGGGCCCGGGGTCAGTAGGGGGCCCCATGAGATGCCCCTGGTACCTTTTTCATAGGCTTTTTTGAGTTGGGCAAGGACACAGGGGCCCCATGATCCCCTATTGCCCGGGGGCCCCATGAGTTGTCAGTCCGCTCCTGCTGTCGATGTACTAATGACACTGGCTCGGAAGGGGCTCGGGGCAATCTAAGGATTAACTGTGTGCCTAACAATGTGTAATGTGTGTCATATGTGCTGCTTTTACTTTACTGTATGGCTGTTTATTCTCCCTGCTGTGCAGGGAGAATAAACAACCAGATCGTTGTTCCTTGAATACTATGTATGCTTTGTAAACACAGAACTCTGTGATTGGACAGCTGACTTCAGCCAAAATCACTGGCTGAAATCAGCTGCCAAACTTGTGCTGTGTCCAATCCTGAACCCAGAAAGTTTGCAACGTACAGGTACGTCACCCGGACTGGAGCTTCCACCTGCTCGCAGTACAAGTACTGTGGGCATGTGGCAAGCAGTTAAAAGTAAACATCATTATTTGAGTGCATATCAAGAGCCAGCAAGGAAGCTGATTTTAAGGCCTTATCTTTGCTGTTCCTGTTGAAAAATATGCTGTTTTGGCTATTCACTCACTTATCAAATAAAAGTAACTCAAAACCATAGTTTCCTTTTCATTGCTTTATTGTTCATATGGAAAGCCTTTTAGCTGCCACCTGTTTTTTTTTTTCTTTTTTTCCCCCCCTTTTCTTCTCTCCTCTCCTGTTCTCTCCCCTTCAGACATACACTGCTTAACAAATTAAAGGAATACTTTTTAATTAGAGTATAGCATCAAGTCAATTACACTCCTGGGATATTTATCTGGTCAGTTAAGTAGCAGAGGGGGTTGTTAATCAGTTTCAGCTGCTTTGGTGTTAATGAAATTAAAAACAGGTGCACTAGATGGGCAACAATGAGACGACCCCCAAAACAGGAATCGTTGTACAGGTGGAGGCCAATGACATTTTTCCCCTACTCATCTTTTCTGACTGTTTTTCACTAGTTTTGCATTTGGCTAGGGTCAGTGTCACTACTGGTAGCATGAGGCGATACCTGGACCCTACAGAGGTTGCACAGGCAGTCCAACCTCTATAGGATGGCACATCAAAACTTGCCATTGACAGAAGGTTTGCTGTGTCTCCCAGCACAGTCTCAAGAGCATGGAGGAGATTCCAGGAGACAGGCAGTTACTCTAGGAAAGCTGGACAGGGCCATAGAAGGTCCTTTACTCATCACCAGGACATGTATCTGCTCCTTTGTGCAAGGAGGAACAGGATGAGCACTGCCAGGCCATAAAAAATGACCTCCAGCAGGCCACTGGTGTGAATGTCTCTGACCAAACAATCAGAACAGACTTCATGATGGTGGCCTGAGGGCCTGACATCCTCTAGTGGGCCCTGTGCTCACTGCCCGGCACCATAGAGCTCAATTGGCATTTGCCATTGAACACCAGAATTGGCAGGTCCGCCAGTGGTGTACTGTGCTTTTCACAGATGAGAGCAGGTTCACCCTGAGCACATGTGACAGAAAGGGTCTGGAGAAACCATGGAGAACATTATGCTGCCTGTAACATCGTTCAGCATGACCATTTTGGTTTATACTTGGGATACTAAGCATACTTCATAAGATTAGTACACTTTTTGGGGTTTAAAAGTGTTTATATGCGTTTTGGGGAAATTTGTGAATAAGGGAAGGGTACACTGTATTTAATTGTCATTTTGGTGGTGGGTCAGTGATGGTCTGGGGAGGCATATACATGGAGGGACGTACAGGCCTCTACAGGCTAGACAATGGCACCCTGACTGCCATTAGGTATCAGGATGAAATCCTTGGATCCATTGTCAGACCCTATGGTGGTGCAGTGGGTCCTGGGTTCCTCCTGATGCACGACAATGCTCAGCCTCATGTGGCGAGTGTATGCAGGCAGTTCCTTGAGGATGAAGGAATTGATACCATTGAATGGCCTCCACGCTCGCCTGACCTAAATCCAATAGAACACCTCTGGGATATCATGTTTTGGTCCATCTGATGCCACCAGGTTGCACCTCAGAGTGCCCAGGAGCTCAGTGATGCCCTGGTCCAGATCGGGGAGGAAATACCCCAGGACACCATCCATCATCTTATTAGGAGCATGCCCCCCAACGTTTTCAAGCACGTGGGGGCCATACAAACTATTGAGTACCATACTGAGTTGCTGCAAATAAATTTCAGCAAAATGAACTAGCCTGCTGCATTATTTTTCACTTTGATTTTTGGGGTGTCTTTGAATTCAGTCCTCTGTAGGCTGATAATTTTAATTTCCATCAAACAATGGGGCACCCCCAAAACAGGAATCGTTTTACATTTGGAGGCCGATGACATTTTTCCCCTACTCATCTTTTCTGACTGTTTTTCACTAGTTTTGAATTTGGCTAGGGTCAGTGTCACTACTGGTAGCATGAGGCGATACCTGGACCCTACAGAGGTTGCACAGGCAGTCCAACTTCTATAGGATGGCACGGCAAAACGTGTGTCTCAAGAGCATGGAGGAGATTCCAGGAGACAGACAGTTACTCTGGGAGAGCTGGACAGGCCCGTAGAAGGTCCTTAACTGATCAGCAGGTTTTCAAGCACGTTTTCAAGCACGTGGGGGCCATACAAACTATTGAGTACCATCCTTATGTTCACATTACCTGGTCCGTATCACTATAGATATCCAGCATGATATTTTTCCCCATTGAGATCTGATGTGTTTTCAAAGTGTTCCCCACAGCCAGCTGCAATAGACCCCCCCCCCCCCCCCCCCCCCGAAACAGTAGATCCTCCATACAACAATATCCCCCAGTAACAATGGACCTCTGCAACAAAATACCACCCTATCAACAATAGACCCCAGCAGTAAAAACTGGTCTGTCAGCAGCCAGCATCAATTAAGTGTCCAGCAGCCAGCAAAAATAGACCTCTCCCTCAACAGTAGATCCCTTACAGCAACAATAGAAAGCCACACAAAAATAGATCGCAACCAGTGACAATAGATCCTCCAGCAACTAGCATCAATAGACCTTTCAGCACATCCCAGCACCTCTTGCCATTATATACATTCAGCGCTGGAGGTACCGGAACTGCGTTCTCCCACGTTCCAGCTGAAAAAAAGCCCTGGCATTACATAATAATGTACAATATATTAAAATATGTAGAATCAATAAATGGTGCAGTTTATGTAGCTAAACTTTTTTTCAGTTAGATGAGCGAAGAAATGAAAAATTCGATTCGACTGATTCGGCGAATTCGTGGACAATATTCGATTCGAGTCGAATAAATTCGCTGTGAATTTAACTTAAAAAAGGGTGTTTCTAGGCTTCAGAGAGACTTAATATTAGTGCAGAACACTGTACCTTTAATTTAAATGCCCTTGGAGTCTGCTGGGGAAGAGAAATAATACTGTCACTCAGTATGACATGCAGATGAGTGCCGTCGATCTTAGAATCACCGCACACTTCACTCATTTGGCCAGTCACGGGGCCAAAACCAGTGTTTGGAGCCACAGTGTGGCGGTGGAGGCAGCAGCAATGGGAGGCCATACAGCAACCTATGACAAAATGGAAACCAGCAGGAGTGTGAGGAGACCTGAAAGTGGCACATGCAGTGGGAGCAATGGGAGGCGGTACAAGGACCCATGTCACACTGTGGACCCAGCAGCAGCGTGACCAGGCGGTACGGGGGCCCATGGCAGATTACAGGCCTGGCAGCAGCAATGGGAGGCCCGTAATCTGCCAGCACCCTATGACAAAAAATGGAACACACCAGCAGTGTGTGAGGAGACCTGAAAGTGGCACATGGCAGAGTGTGGCGATGGAGACAGCAGCAATGGGAGGCCGTACAGGGACCCATGAGAGACTGTGGACCTGGCAGCAGCATGAGGAGGCGGTATAGGGGCCCATGGCAGATTAGGGGCCTGGCAGCAGCTATAGGAGGCCCGTAATCTGCCAGCACCCTATGACAAAAAATTGAACACACCAGCAGTGTGTGAGGAGACCTGAAAGTGGCACATGGCATGAGACACTCTGGACCTGGCAGCAGCATGAGGAGGCGGTATATAGGGGCCCATGGCAGATTAGGGGCCTGGCAGCAGCTATGGGAGGCCCGTAATCTGCCAGCACCCTATGTCAAAAAATTGAAAACACAAGCAGTGTGTGAGGAGACCTGAAAGTGGCACATGTTTGGGGCATGATTCATGGCGGATTTAGTCAGTTGTGTCAGGAACTAGTGGTTTGAAATCCAGACTAATCCACGCCTGATTCATTTTCACAAACGTGAGTCTCTCCACACTTTGGGTGGACAGTCGTGTCCTCCGCGGAGTTGCAATACCTCCTGCCGCACTAAACACGCGCTCCGATGCCACGCTACTGGCCGGGCATGACAGCCTTTCAAGGGCAAATTCAGCTAGTTGGGGTCAAAGGTCAAGTTTCGTTGCCCAGTAGTCAAGGGGATTGTCTACCTCGGTTGGCAGGGTGCTGTCCAAGTAGGCCTAAGCCTGTTGTTTGAGGTCCTGCTCCAGGTCCACCTGATGCTGCTGCTGCTGCGGCTGGTTAGTAGTTTCCTCACTGCGCTGGTGAAGAAAGCTACTCATCATCGACTGCAGACTGAGAGCAGCCGCTGCTGGTGGAGCTGCCACTGCTCCTACCACCCCACCCCTCCCCTGCTGCCATGGCAGCGTAACGCGAGCGCACAGGGCCCACAGTGTCTGAGGATGGACGTTGGCGCAGAAAGGCAGAGACCAGCTGACTACATAGGTGGTTTTTATAGTACGTTATTTTGGCCTCCCTCTCAGCAGGTGTGAAAAAGGCCACCATTTTTGAACGGTAGCGAGGGTCCAACAAGGTGGACAGCCAAAAGTCATCCCTCTGTCTGATGGTTATTATTCGGCTGTCGCTACGCAAGCAAGCGAGCATGCTATGGGCCATTTGTGCCAAGGAATGCGAGGGACTCCCTACCTCCATCTCCACAGCATACTGCCACGGTGCGTCTGGGTCCTCTGTCCTCCTCCTCCTCCTCCTCTACCAGATGCTCCTGCTCCTCCACTCCTGTCCGCTGAGTGAAAAAAAAACCACCCATTTCACTCAATAATTCCTGAGCACCAATGTCCTCCTCTACCTCCTCCTCTTCTTCCTGTCCTGCCCCCACAGGGGTCATGTGGCGTTGAGATCTGTGCGCCACGTCTACCGCACCCTGACCAGCCATTGTTAACAGCATTTGTTCCAGGACGTGCAACAGAGGAATGACGTCGTTCATCCCATAGTCCTGCCGACTCACGAATAGCGTGGCCTCCTCAAAGGGCCTGAGCAAGCGCAGGTGTCACGCATGAGCTGCCAATGGCTGACATCTAAGTTACACAGGGAGTACCTTTATCCGCTTTTAACATCAGGAAATCTGTGATGGCCTTTCGCTGTTCGTAAAGGCGGTCTAACATATGTAGGGTTGAATTCCACCTTGTTGCAACGTCACAGCATGAGGAGTCGGTACGGGGGCCCATGGCAGATTACGTGCCTGGCAGCAGCAATGGGAGGCCCGTAATCTGCCAGCACCCTATGTCAAAAAATTCAAACACACCAGCAGTGTGAGGAGACCTGAAAGTGGCACATGGCAGAGTGTGGCGATGGAGACAGCAGCAATGGGAGGCCGTACAGGGACCCATGAGAGACTCTGGACCTGGCAGCAGCATGAGGAGGAGGCGGTATATAGGGGCCTATGGCAGATTAGGGGCCTGGCAGCAGCTATGGGAGGCCCGTAATCTGCCAGCACCCTATGTCAAAAAATTCTACACACCAGCAGTGTGAGGAGACCTGAAAGTGGCACATGGCAGAGTGTGGCGATGGAGACAGCAGCAATGGGAGGCCGTACAGGGACCCATGAGAGACTCTGGACCTGGCAGCAGCATGAGGAGGCGGTATATAGGGGCCTATGGCAGATTAGGGGCCTGGCAGCAGCTATGGGAGGCCCGTAATCTGCCAGCACCCTATGTCAAAAAATTCTACACACCAGCAGTGTGAGGAGACCTGAAAGTGGCACATGGCAGAGTGTGGCGATGGAGACAGCAGCAATGGGAGGCCGTACAGGGACCCATGAGAGACTCTGGACCTGGCAGCAGCATGAGGAGGCGGTATATATAGGGGCCCATGGCAGATTAGGGGCCTGGCAGCAGCTATGGGAGGCCCGTAATCTGCCAGCACCCTATGTCAAAAAATTCTACACACCAGCAGTGTGTGAGGAGACCTGAAAGTGGCACATGGCAGAGTGTGGCGATGGAGACAGCAGCAATGGGAGGCCGTACAGGGACCCATGAGAGACTCTGGACCTGGCAGCAGCATGAGGAGGCGGTATATAGGGGCCTATGGCAGATTAGGGGCCTGGCAGCAGCTATGGGAGGCCCGTAATCTGCCAGCACCCTATGTCAAAAAATTCTACACACCAGCAGTGTGTGAGGAGACCTGAAAGTGGCACATGGCAGAGTGTGGCGATGGAGACAGCAGCAATGGGAGGCCGTACAGGGACCCATGAGAGACTCTGGACCTGGCAGCAGCATGAGCATGAGGAGGCGGTATATAGGGGCCTATGGCAGATTAGGGGCCTGGCAGCAGCTATGGGAGGCCCGTAATCTGCCAGCACCCTATGTCAAAAAATTCTACACACCAGCAGTGTGTGAGGAGACCTGAAAGTGGCACATGGCAGAGTGTGGCGATGGAGACAGCAGCAATGGGAGGCCGTACAGGGACCCATGAGAGACTCTGGACCTGGCAGCAGCATGAGGAGGCGGTATATAGGGGCCCATGGCAGATTAGGGGCCTGGCAGCAGCTATAGGAGGCCCGTAATCTGCCAGCACCCTATGTCAAAAAATTCTACACACCAGCAGTGTGTGAGGAGACCTGAAAGTGGCACATGGCAGAGTGTGGCGATGGAGACAGCAGCAATGGGAGGCCGTACAGGGACCCATGAGAGACTCTGGACCTGGCAGCAGCATGAGGAGGCGGTATATAGGGGCCTATGGCAGATTAGGGGCCTGGCAGCAGCTAGGGAGGCCCGTAATCTGCCAGCACCCTATGTCAAAAAATTCTACACACCAGCAGTGTGTGAGGAGACCTGAAAGTGGCACATGGCAGAGTGTGGCGATGGAGACAGCAGCAATGGGAGGCCGTACAGGGACCCATGAGAGACTCTGGACCTGGCAGCAGCATGAGGAGGCGGTATATAGGGGCCTATGGCAGATTAGGGGCCTGGCAGCAGCTATGGGAGGCCCGTAATCTGCCAGCACCCTATGTCAAAAAATTCTACACACCAGCAGTGTGAGGAGACCTGAAAGTGGCACATGGCAGAGTGTGGCGATGGAGACAGCAGCAATGGGAGGCCGTACAGGGACCCATGAGAGAGACTCTGGACCTGGCAGCAGCATGAGGAGGCGGTATATAGGGGCCTATGGCAGATTAGGGGCCTGGCAGCAGCTATGGGAGGCCCGTAATCTGCCAGCACCCTATGTCAAAAAATTCTACACACCAGCAGTGTGTGTGAGGAGACCTGAAAGTGGCACATGGCAGAGTGTGGCGATGGAGACAGCAGCAATGGGAGGCCGTACAGGGACCCATGAGAGACTCTGGACCTGGCAGCAGCATGAGGAGGCGGTATATAGGGGCCTATGGCAGATTAGGGGCCTGGCAGCAGCTATGGGAGGCCCGTAATCTGCCAGCACCCTATGTCAAAAAATTCTACACACCAGCAGTGTGTGAGGAGACCTGAAAGTGGCACATGGCAGAGTGTGGCGATGGAGACAGCAGCAATGGGAGGCCGTACAGGGACCCATGAGAGACTCTGGACCTGGCAGCAGCATGAGGAGGCGGTATATAGGGGCCTATGGCAGATTAGGGGCCTGGCAGCAGCTATGGGAGGCCCGTAATCTGCCAGCACCCTATGTCAAAAAATTCTACACACCAGCAGTGTGAGGAGACCTGAAAGTGGCACATGGCAGAGTGTGGCGATGGAGAGACAGCAGCAATGGGAGGCCGTACAGGGACCCATGAGAGACTCTGGACCTGGCAGCAGCATGAGGAGGCGGTATATAGGGGCCTATGGCAGATTAGGGGCCTGGCAGCAGCTATGGGAGGCCCGTAATCTGCCAGCACCCTATGTCAAAAAATTCTACACACACCAGCAGTGTGAGGAGACCTGAAAGTGGCACATGGCAGAGTGTGGCGATGGAGACAGCAGCAATGGGAGGCCGTACAGGGACCCATGAGAGACTCTGGACCTGGCAGCAGCATGAGGAGGCGGTATATAGGGGCCTATGGCAGATTAGGGGCCTGGCAGCAGCTATGGGAGGCCCGTAATCTGCCAGCACCCTATGTCAAAAAATTCTACACACACACCAGCAGTGTGTGAGGAGACCTGAAAGTGGCACATGGCAGAGTGTGGCGATGGAGACAGCAGCAAATGGGAGGCCGTACAGGGACCCATGAGAGACTCTGGACGGCAGCAGCATGAGGAGGCGGTATATAGGGGCCTATGGCAGATTAGGGGCCTGGCAGCAGCTATGGGAGGCCCGTAATCTGCCAGCACCCTATGTCAAAAAATTCTACACACCACCAGCAGTGTGAGGAGACCTGAAAGTGGCACATGGCAGAGTGTGGCGATGGAGACAGCAGCAATGGGAGGCCGTACAGGGACCCATGAGAGACTCTGGACCTGGCAGCAGCATGAGGAGGCGGTATATAGGGGCCTATGGCAGATTAGGGGCCTGGCAGCAGCTATGGGAGGCCCGTAATCTGCCAGCACCCTATGTCAAAAAATTCTACACACCAGCAGTGTGTGAGGAGACCTGAAAGTGGCACATGGCAGAGTGTGGCGATGGAGACAGCAGCATGGGAGGCCGTACAGGGACCCATGAGAGACTCTGGACCTGGCAGCAGCATGAGGAGGCGGTATATAGGGGCCTATGGCAGATTAGGGGCCTGGCAGCAGCTATAGGAGGCCCGTAATCTGCCAGCACCCTATGTCAAAAAAT